ATGTTGCCACACCATCTGTCTAGCTGAGTTCACTCTCTGCTTCGGCTCAGGATCCCACTTGCCTTCCTGCTCCAGGCTGCACACCATATAATGAGCAGCTTCTGCAATCTGCTGAGAGCTTGAGCCAGCCACTCACTCCACAGTGCAGTGTTTCGGAGGGGAGGGGTCACTAGCTCTCTGATCATGAAGTACTGAGCAATCAGCGGTGTTTGATCGCTCAATTCTCAGTCTAAGAGCCAGCAAGGGACCGATGCTGCAGGGAAGTATGATTTCTGACAAGAATAAAAACAAAAAACTTCTCTTTTAATGATTAGTGCTCATCTATAAAACTAAAATTATACCTTCAAAAAGGTTTTCACTACAGGCATCATCCGTGTAACCTTTTTTTTAGCTGGCGATGGGCTTTAATGCGAAAGCGATCCTAATGGCAAATTATCCACTGGATCGTTTTGACCCGCACCCCCTCCCACCACCTTTCCAGACTTTCCCGTCCCACAGGCTATATATGCTCTTTAATCAATACATTTAGCCATTTATTTATTTTATTACAGGTACTTCTATAGCTCCATCAATTTACGCAGCACTTTACATACTTATTGTACATTCAGATCAGTCCCTAACCCTCAAGGGAGCGTACAATCTAAGGTCCCTAACTCCCATTCATACATTCACATACTAGGGCTAAGTTAGACAGGAGCCAATTAACCTACCAGCATGTCTTTTTGGGGTGTGTTGTTGGAAACCGGAGTACCCGGAGGAAACCCATGCAGTCACAGGGAGAACATGCAAACTCCAGGCAGGTGGTGCCGGGGTTTGGATTCGAACCAGTGACCCTAGTACTGCCAGGTGGAAGTGCTAACCATTTAGCCACTGTGCTGCCCTAACTAATCTAAAGGTCCCTAACTCACATTCATATATATACATACCAATTTAGACTGGACCATTTAGAAGTCAGAAGCTATAGAGGTTTATAGATATAGAATATAAAGAGTAACAAAATTATAAAGAGGGAATACTGTGGACGAAAGACGGTGGGTATGTATGCCAAGAGGTGGCAAGGCATGCTGGGATTTGCAGTGCCACAATAGCTCAAGATCTACCGGTTGCTTACACTCACCAGGTTGTCGTTTGTGGCAAGAGACATCCTCCTTTTGGGTCCCTTCAGTGACACCCAGCCTGCATTTCCAAAAGCAACCAATTGTCAGCTGTTTAATTTTCAATCAACAACTGGAAAGTGTCCGTTTCTGGTTATCATTCCCAGCTCAGCTCTCTTACTGGAAGGAGCATTACACAGAGAAATCTGATTTTAAAAGTGTTTGATGATCATTTCTAAATTATAATGAACACAGCAGAGTATGCTTACAGAATGGCATCTGAAAGAAGAACTGTCTATGTTACCTGAAAGAAACCAACCAGATGAAAATGACAAAGAATGACAAGTCTGACTGGTTTCTGTGACAGCACACACAGCCACTTATGACAAACCTAAAGTAAAACCGCTGCTCTGCTTTACACCTGAATCCCACCGGAATGCGCTGTGTGTACCTACAGTATGCAATGTGATTTTCAGCCCATTCATGTGAATGGGCTGAAATCGCAGTGGATCGCACCAAGCATAGTGCATGCACTACTTTTAAAACGCACTGTAACCCGATTGCATGGTATTGCGGTACCATGAGATCCGTTGCAGGAAAATGCCCTGCAGCTGTGATCTAAGAGCTCATGTACACTGCAGCTGCTAAACTGACAGTCAGGAGCTGTTCAGTGTTTTTTTTCAGCAGCCCCTGAACTCTCTCTAATGTTTTCCTATGTGTCCATGTACACAGTCGTTTACAGGCAGTTGAGTTTACAGTCATTTTTTTGAACGCACCAAATCTGCGTTCAGTAGATTTTACCAGCGTTTCAAATGCCAAACGCTTGTAAACACGTTTATAAGCATTTTTTAACTGTTCCATATCCAGATGCTGTCCAGAGCCTTTATTCATCATCAGAAATGTATGCAAAGCATTTCCCATGTATTCAAATGGACCCGGTACACCAGCAGCAGTCAGTTGCAGGTTTCGTGTGTGAAGGAAAAAATGGTAGAACGTGCCGCATTATGCTCATGATGGGATCCATAGTGAATACAACCAGAAAAGACAGGTCATCTCAACACATACTGCTCTCTCTGCTTCTGCTCTCTCTATTCCTCTCAAAATGTCTGAAATAGTTAATTATTTACTATTTTTCAGTGCATTCTGGGCATTTATAAGGGTCTCCTGAGGTTACCTTTTAAAAACGCTTCTGAATGCAAACGCACATAAACGCTTCTGAACGCGGCATGCAAAACGCAGCTAACTGGCGTTTTTTAACCTACATTTTCCAGCAGTCAGTTTCCATTGTTCAGAAGAGTTTTCCAAATGCCCCGTGTACGTGATCCCTTAGTGTGGGGTGTCGTTAGGAATACATTGACACCTGCAGCAGCCTGCCCATCTACTGCGTTGTCAACGTGGCTCAGGAAACATGCACAGAACGTGGATTTCCCACTCCACATTCTGGTGTTTAACGGGCCCTAGAAGAACTCTGCTAAGTTTCTAGCATTTTATATAAACTCCTCCACCTCACAGCACATATATAATTATGAATCCTTTGTGCAGACATATTATTAGTACTAGGTTTATTTTAATCCTGGAGCCAAAATGTTTACACCAAAAACAAAACAGAATTTGAAAATGCAAACAATAGAGAAGCCTGTGAGAGTGCAGGCTGGAGAGGAAGTGCGAGGAAGCTCTCATGCCACATTTCCTGTAAAAATTTAAAGGAAAGCGTCGCCACCAGGAAACCAATGAAAGGAGAATGAAGCAGAAAAGGACCAGGGAAATGTTCTGGTGATTCAGTCTTAGAGGGACAGATGACTTCTAGTATATCATGCTCATGAAAATCTAGAAATTGACCATTTAAAACCAGGGGTGCCCAACCTGCGGCCCAACACAAAACCAGATATCCAGGGTGGATAAAAATCAATGATTTTTTTTTTAAAAATTAAAAAAAAAAAATCGGATTTTTTTTTATTTAAATCGGATATTTTTAAATAAAATGCTTTTTGAGGAAAATATATTACCATCCAAAGGTTATTCCATCATGAAATAAAGATTAGTTTTTTCATTATGTAGAATAAGGCTGTATATGTTTAATTTTTTGGTAAATAAATTCCATGAATCCATTCACAATGTCATGCTCTTCCAGAGGTTTTTGTAAGATTATTGGGCAGTTTCTCTGCCTACAAGATATTATCACAGATGCTTGGTTTACTTTTGCAGTTCTCAAAACTGAATTTGACTCAGCGGAGATCACATGCCTCTTCTTCACAGCACAAATGTTATAACATGAACAGAGTTAAGAAAAAGACCTTAATCCTAACTTCTACAAACCTATGAATACAGAATCAACCCCTTCAGTGCTAAGTTTCAAGAAGTTCAGTGAATAGAATAGAAACAATATTTTTCTGATTGTTTGGAGTGGAATAGATCTGCACAAGAAGAAAGTGAAGCTAAGTGTGAGGAGGAAGGGGCTGACAGTCTAAGTTTCTTAAAATATATATATTTTGTTTAAGAAAATAACATATGCTGGAATGTTATTGTTTCAGTTGAATAAATCTATTTAAATTGTTATTATTAAGGTAATGATTATTTTTCTCCTTCCTAAGTACAACAGAAAAGTTGTCCAAATATGAATAATTAACCTATTAAACTGGGGATAAAAAACTAATATGAAAAGTTATTCTAAAAACCTTCATCTACTTGCATATTAGAGTTATACCAGCAAGAATTAGTCTTTATGTAGAAAACTAGGATTTAAATCAAGCCTTACTGACTAGTGATTTAAATCGTGATTTAAATCAGTTTGATTTAAATCAAATCCACCCTGATCTAAAATATGATTTTATTCCAATAACATTTAGTTCAATGGAAACCAGCCGATGTTCAGCTTGTGTGTTCATCCACCTGCTGAATGGCTGGCTTCTGTCAAACAGGTGTGCTGGAAAACCAGCATCTGATCAGAGCTGGCAGGGGGTTTGGAGGGGGGGAGGGGGGGATTAAAGTGGTTGTAAAGGCTCAAGGTTTTTTTACCTTCATGCATTCTAGCAGCATCACCCCCAGCGCCCCCCCCCCCCCCAATACTCATCTAAGCCCCATTCCGATCCAGCAATGTGCACTGGAATCTCAGCTATCCCAGGACTCCCTCTTCCCATTGGCTGAGAAAGAAGTGAGAGCCATTGGCTCCCACTGCTGTCAATCACAACCAGTGAGCCAATGAGAAGAGTGAGGGGCAGGGCTGAGCAGCAGCGCTGTCTGTGAATGGACACACTGAGCAGAGGGTTCCACAGTGAGTATAACAAGCATGCCTTACTGCATACACAGACGATTTTACTGTTGTGGGTTTAGTAACACTTTAACCTCCCTAGCGGTCTGATTGTGTCCATATTTCTGTGCTCAAAGCGGTAAATTTTTTTGCATGGAAATATGTATTTTTTTTATTGTAGGCCTGTAATTCTTAGGAATAACTCACTGAAATCTGTCTGAACAAGAGTCTAGTAAACATCCCGGGTATGTTAAAATTTGAAACACAAAATCATAAATTATAATTTAATAAATAATCGTGAAAAATAATATAATAAAAAATTTAATTCAATAATATAATCAAACCAAGAACACTGAAATTTGAAATAGGGCGCAAAGTTCGCACATCACTGAGCAAAGTCGCAAAATCGTTTTCAGTGTCTGATGACGAATTTCCCCACAAATCATTATCACTCAATTCTGCAAGTGGTTCTAATTTACTATCGCTGTTCTCTAGCCGGTCTAAAACCGCTTTTGACCTAAAGGGACACTTTTTGGACGCCATGGACTTTTCTCAGTTTCCAGGCAGAAAGAACAGTAAAAATGCAGGCAGGGCGTACAGGACAAAGCACTCGGGACAAAATGTATGTGAAATGGTTTGATATAGGAATGTTATACTATGTGAATTTAGTGAATGTCACTTTTTGTCATTTTTAAATTTCCCATCGTTCCGTCCCCGTACGTCCTGACGTCGCAGGGGACGGAACCCAGATGACAGATGCTGGCATCCGCCGGAGGACATTGCCGGGGACACTGCAGGAGGGACATCGCGGGAGCGCAGGACAAGGTAAGAGAACAAGAGATCCCGGAGCAGCAATGCATGGTAAGCCCGAGTGTAGCTCAGGGTTATCGCTTGTGGTGCTGAAACTTTACCCCGACCTACACTTGGGAATACCGCCAGGGAGGTTACTATAAATAAACAGTTTTAAATTGTCATACAAAAATATATTTGATATCAAATCTTTATTATTTTTTGTCAATAACATGGTGTGGGCGGATTTCTGCCAATCACAGGTTGTGTCACACCCCTCCAGCCTGTGTCTCAGAATAACAGGGTGGTGAAGCATCAATCAATCAAGATTTAATATCCCACCCCCACTGTGCTTAGCTGGTTAGTTGGCATGGAGGAGGGAGGGAGTGGGGTGTCATTTACCACTATATATATATATATATATATATATATATATATATATATATATACGCCCCCATATGTGTGACTTTATAGACACATGGGCTGCTCAGATGTGAGAGGGAGGAAAATGCCCAGCATAGAAACTCACTAAAAGCTGAGCATGTGCACTGGCTGCTAAAGTTGTTCAGCAAAATCCCCAACCGCTGCTCAGCCATTCCCAAGAAGCTTTGTATTTTTATGAATGCGTACAAGGTTTCTTCTGATTGGCTGAGTTGATGAGGCAGGCAGATGACGTCCTGATCTCCACCTCAGCCAGAGGAAGCCTTGTATGCGCTCACAAAAATACAAAGCTGATTGGTTGAGCAACACTCGGCATTACTTGATTTTTTTCAGGGAACAGGAGAGAAGTCCTCATTTCGCTGCCAGAAAACTGCACTGTATACTGTATGTTGCTGATGATACATAAAGTGTATAAAGTGCTGCCAGCAGGTGCATGTATTAGTGATGGAAATGGTTTGTCTGGACTTGTTGGTTCATGACTATTTACAGGTAAACCTCCCAATAACCTAAACATAGATATAGGATATATGGGGTATAGATGGGAGGCATACCTTAGCTTAGAATACGGTGCAAGATCCATGTTCAGAGCAGTCGTAGCCTACAGTGAACTCGGTGTAGAGCTATTCACCCTGAGGTCATCGCAGAGGACAAGAAATGTAATCTCCAAACACGGAAAGGTTTCTTCACAGTGAGAGCTGTGAACATGTGGAATAGACTCCCTCAAGGAGTTGGTTCTGGCCAGCTCAGTGGATTGCTTCAAAAAAGGCCTGGATTGTTTCCTAGATACACAGAATATAACTGGATACTAACATTTATAGGTAAAGTTGATCCAGGGAATATCCCATTGCCTCTCGGGCGGTCAGGAAGAATTTTTTTCCCTGCAGGAGCAAATTGGATCGTGCTTTGCTGGGTTGTTTTGCCTTCCTCTGGATCAACTGTGGGTATAGGATTATAACTTTTTTTTTTCTATGGTTGAACTGGATGGACTTTTGTCTTTTTTCAGCCAGACTAACTATGTAACATTCACACGGGCAGCCAGGGGCACACAGCTTGCTGCGTTCAGAGGTGGCTAAACACTGCTTCTAGATGCAGGAACTGTGATGGCCGCATACAAAAGTGGCCGATTAGCTACAGACAGAACTCTGCAGAAACACTGACCCTGGATGCACATAGTGTCCAGGGTTGGTCAGAGGCTCTATTCACATGTAAGACTCCATTCACTCTTGCTCGACACCAATGTCACACAATTTCCAGTGCGACTTTGGAGCACGACTTTGATCTGACTTTACACTCTCTGGATCAAAGACGTACAGGCACCTTTTCCTAAAGGTGACACCAATTTGAACAGGTGCCTTTGAAATGGGCTGCAACGTGTCATGTGACTGATGTCCAAAGTTGCATGAAAAGTCGCACAAACGTGAATGAAGGGTTACTGATCAGATGCAAACAGATTCGGAACAGGCTGTTGATCTGTGCAGAGTTATCTGACAGATTCCTCTATGCAAACGTAAGCATATCCAGATGGCCATTAGAACCACCAGCAAAAGAATACTGAATCCTACTAGTGGCCACCCCTTTGCAGGCCGTGGGAATTTAACCTAAGGCTAAGGCTGGCCATACATTATACAATTTTCTGTCCAATTTCCTTTACATTTACCTTCAACTATGTAGCGCAAGGGCCTGCCTAATTGGATACAATTGAAAGAGTTGTTTAGATTTGACCTCATATAATATGGTTTTTGGTAAATCTAAAGAAAAATTCTCATGAAAATTATATAAATGTTTGGCCAGCATAACTTTACACTAGCTTCAAAAGCAGGTGTCTGATCAGCATTTTTAATGCTCCAGAAAGGCCTGTCAAAGCTCCCAGCCCTGTACACATGGTCGTGGTAGTGTGGCGTTGCGTCAAAACTGACCCAACATGCGTCATTTCCCAGGCTTTACCACTCCCCAAATGCTTCCATTGATATCAATATAAAGGTGCTACAATCACACTGCAAACAAGCCACAAACACCCCATGGCATTCACAGCACCTTTGAGATGTGTTTAGAAAGTGTTACTAGCCGAGATGACAATACAAAAATCCATGCAACAGAAAACCATCATAGAGGAGGCGTGTGGAAGGTGTTATTAAATGCATCGCAAACGTTAAAAACATGCCATAAACACATAATGCAACATGTGTTTTAATCGGCATTAAAATTTCAAAGCACGTCTACATGAGGCCTAACAGCTCAGTATAGACCAGCCCAGGAGGCTGGCTAAATTAGTCATTATCATTATTATACAGGATTTATATAGCGCCAACAGTTTTCTCAGTGCTTTACAATATAACGGGAGACAATACAGCAACAATACAGTTCAATACAAGAGGGATAGGAGGGCCCTGATCTTGGGAGCTTACAATCTAAGAGGGAGGGGCTAGTGGTACAAAAGGCAGTAACTGTGGGGGATGCACTAGTAGGAGGAATAGAAGATTCCATTATTAGCTGAAGGCAAGATAGGCTTCCCTGAAGAGATAGGTTTTCAGAGATTGCCTAAAAGTGAGCAGAGTAGGGGATAAATAAAAATCTAAAGGCAGTAATTGAGCGCTGGGAACAATAATGTAATGTAAAGCTGCTAGCATAAAAGGCAACCTCTAAAACCCAATACAAGAAATATAAAATAAGTATGCAGCGCTAATGTAAAAAATAGAATCAGATAGATGAAAAATATATAGAATCAGATAGATCAGAAATTGCACAATATCATATTCCAGCAACTTAGTCCATATATAGTAGTACAGCAAAGTGATTATGTGCAAATGTTCATAAATCCACAATAGAGGGATAACCGTGACTCTTGTGCTCTTGAAAGTATACAAACATTGCACTAACCAGATAGCGCATTAACTGCGCGTGGAGCAATTAAGACCTGCTTCTGGTGCTCTGGACTTGTAATACCATGAAGATGTCATCAGCGTGTAGGCCACTAGGTGTCATCAATCTAGGTGTGCTCTTTAAATTTCCACCATGCCAGTCACCGGGGGGGAGGTAGAGGTCACACACCAATCCAGGTCATCAGGAACCTTCAAAAGCGGGCTCCCATAGAAATGATGAGCCCAGAGAAAGATCCGGATCTAATATGGCCACCAGGTGTCAATCAGGATGGCCTTGCGGTATATGTACAATGGTCAGGGGATAGTCTGATAGATTGGAGTAGAGAGTTCCAGAGTATGGGGGAAGCTCTGGAGAAGTCCTGGAGACGAGCATGGGAGGAGGAGACAAGGGAGCTAAAGAGCAGGAGGTCATGCGACGAGCGGAAAGTACGGTTTAGGTGATATTTGGAGACTAGTCATGCTAGTTTTGTACAGTAATTCTGTTTAAAGCGGAGGTCCAGTCAAAATCTAAAAAAAAAATAAAAGTCTAATTAAAAGTTTCACCGGGCGTCCTCTCTCCCCGGTACTGGCATCCTAGGAGTGGACATCCAGCTGTGATAGCTTGTGTCTTCACAGTCGCATGCCCACTGCACATGCGCAAGTAGCACTGCACCTTGTGAATGGTCCAGTAGTCTTCTGGGATCTGTCATGTATTGCAGAAGATTACAGGGAGGGATGGAGGACAACTCCCACTTCTGATCGCCTAGGCAGGTACCTGTCAAATTCAGGTACCCGCTCCACTCTGATCCCCAAAGGAGCCAATCCCTAATGGGGAGCAGGGGGCATGGCCTTAAAGCAGAACTTCCCCTTCTGGGTTTTAAGTTTTTTCCTTATTTTTTCTTCCGTATGAGAAGAATGAGAACAGAATTATTACAAATTCATGGGTTGTACAAAACAGACACGAGATTTGTGGGTATACAAAGTAGTACCATTTGGTGCGGGTAAATAATGGGTAGTCAAAATACATCATGTAAACTAAGTAAATAGCACTAGTGAAGGACCTGCATACAGTGGTCAATGTGAAGATTTAGGCACCAAATTAGAAAAGAGGGGTTGAAAGGGACCGTGAGGAGACAAAAGTCATAGAAAAGAAAGTTACCAAGAAGCACCTCCCCAGGGCTTGAAATGTAAAAGGTGGGTTAACCACTTGCTTACTTGGCCAATTCTGACATTTTTATCATACATGTAAAAATTTGCATTTTGTTTGCTAGAAAATTACTTAGAACCCCCAAACAGTATATTCATATTTTTAAGCAGAGGCCCTAGAGAATAAAATGGTGGGTGTTACCATTTTTTGTCACATGGTATTTGAGCAGCAGTTTATCAAATGCAAATATTTGAGAAAAAATACACTTTTTAGTGAACACAAACCGTATAATACCCAAATTTTTTTGGCAAAATATAAAAGATGTTACGCCAAGTAAAAATATACCAAACACGTCCCGCTTTAAAATTGCACATGCCCGTGGAACATCAACAAACTACAGTACATTAAATTATCATCAGGTGATGACTTAAAAGCCTTTAGAGCAAGGGTGTCAAACTGGTGGCCCTCCAGCTGTTGCCAAACTACAAGTCCCATGAGACATTGCAAGATTTACAGTTACAAGCATGACTCCCAAAAGCAGAGGAATGATGGGACTTGTAGTTTCGCAACAGCTGGAGGGCCACCAGTTTGACACCCCTGCTTTAGAGGTTACACAGGATGTCCAGCCCTAGAATGATTGCTCTCACTCTGACATTTGCAGCACTCCCTCACATTGGTGGTGCGAATGCCGTTTACATCTGCATGCAGGACT